AATTCAGCTTCAAGATCCATTTTCTTGGAATTCTCTGATTTTTCCTTTCACGCTGTCAACTTTAATGAGCATTTACTTGATTATATCATACTTTAGCAGTTCCGTATATTTTTTTTCCAAAAAAAAAAACTCTATTTGAGCTTGCCTTGGTGTTCCTAAACTAAAAGAAATCTGTCAGGTATCAAATTGAGCCCTCGCTTGTCTCTTTGGAATGAGGTAAATGTAAGTTTCTCTATAAAAGTGCTTTTTGAGACGGAGATTTTTCTCTACGTTAAATTGGGTGCCATCCCTTCCCCTTGAGTTTACTTAACAAAACAAAGGATAATAATTTTATTGAATTTTGTCTTGGTTTTAAGAATGCTGCTATAATTGCAGTTATTATTTTTATATTTGCTTCCCAGTTTTAAATGATGGAGTTGGGATTTTTTTTTTGAAATTCTGAATCATCTGTTGTAATTTCAGCTGCAGCGCCTAAGAAAAGCTTGAAATTCAAAACCATGACGGATGCTTCTGAAGCTCAAGTTATTGATGCCATGCAGAAGATATCTTCGCACATCAAGAACCCTTCAAAATTTAGCAAGGCTGCAAAGCTTGCTGTACAGCTCATTCAGGCAGGAAGTGTAAAGTCAGAAATTAGTGATTATTTTTTTGCTATATTAGAAGCTGCAATGTCATCATCCATAACTTGTACAGATCCTTCAGTTCGAGCAGATTACCATTGTCTGTTCTCAGCAGCTCAAAACGCCAAAGAAGTAAGATTACCTTTGTGTTGCAGATATTCATAATTCATTGTTAGCAATTGTATTTTCTCAGCGAGGATTGCGAAAGATTTTTTGACTCCGACCTATCCTTTAACTTCAGCACCTCAATAAGAAGCAAAAGAATCAACTGGAAACATGGACAATTAATGCTGTGGTGGCAAATGATTTATACACAGATGACAGCTTTGTGGTATGATTCTCATTGAATTCTATGTTGAACTTGGTGACAACAACGTTCTTCCTATTTGAGACATGGAGAAGCATATTGGAATGATGTGCAATTCGTTTGGACATGTAATGCTGTTCCAATCATCAAGATGAATAGTTTTATTTGTGTCCTTTTATTTGTTCATAATTTCATAATATCCATGTTCAGTTTTCATTACTTTAATGTAGTTATCTTCAAAGTTGTCATTTCACATATCAATTCGTTAGTTTTTCATCCACATAAATTGTGGCAAAAGATGGATCCAAGTGTCTCAACGTAGTGTTTTGAATATTTGCTCTTACTGGCTGAGTAAAAATGGATTTGAAAGGAAAAGGCTTTTGGAGCAATGATAAGAGTAATTGTCAAGTATATGATTGATTGATAAGCACAGTGATGTCCAATTCAGCCATCCACTGTGTTCACGCTTTCTATACTTTGTGATAGATGCATAATGGGGCGTGGGAGTTCATTGGTGCGTGACTAGTTATGTCTCCTCTCGCATGTTGACACAAATTCACTCACGCAGGGGACAAACTATTTTTATTTTGGGCTAGTGGGAGTTTGTCTTGGTTGCAATAGCAATGTTCTTCATTTAAGTGAACTGTTGAATTCCCTGACATGGTTCTCTGCTAGCTAATACTTTGACTTTGTATATTTTTGGAGGGACTATAGATGTGTCAAATTATTTGCAACGAAAAAATTGTCTGGAATATTGTTGTTTATTATAGATCGTATTCTGTTTACCAAGAATAATTAGATCTATAAACATGATTTCTTTGTTACTCATGAACTGTTTCCTACTTTTTGTGCAGTTTTCTAAAGCAGCTGGGAAAATCAAGGAAATTATATCTAGTCTTCCTGTTGCAACAGAGGAGGAGGATGCAGAGGAAGAAAAGTCTCTGAAAGATGGCACAGTTATAGCAGATGAAGGGGGTAAAACACCTGCCACGGATAATGATAATGATGGGAAGGAAGCTGACCCATTTGGACTTGATGCTCTGATTCCTAATTCCACAAAGAAAGTTGAAAAACTAAAGGCAAAGAATGAGGCAACTGTGGAAATAAGGGAGGATGAGGAAGAAACCTAGAGATTCCTCAAGTCACAAAGAGAAGCCTTGATAACTTGTTTAGAGATTGCTGCCCGGCGTTATAAAACACCCTGGTAAGTGCTGGTACAGTTTCCTGTTGTATTGTCTTTTACACACATTTTAAAATTGCTTGTTATCATTTTTCTATCCAGGTGTCAAACCGTGATTGATATTTTGGTGAAACATGCCTCTGATAATGTGTCGAGATTTACAGCTAGTCAGAGGGATGCCGTTGGGAAATTGTGGGCTTCAATACGGGAACAACAAACTCGTAGGAAGCAAGGGAAGTCAGTTAATGGAAAACTTGATGTAAATGCTTTTGAATGGCTTCAACAAAAATATGCTAATGAAAAGATTAGCATTAGGCATTCTGTTGGAGCTAGCGGAGACCGTCGAGCCCAACAATGGCTTGGTTAAATATTCTTTTGAGGTCAATGAAAGTGATAGAGGATGATGATCACTGTAAAACTGTTCAAAGAGTGAAAGAGGATGCGTCCTCGCGAGTTCATTGAGTGTTGTAACATTAGTAGCTCTCGGACATGTCTCCGGACTGTGATTTCTTCAGAAAACAATTTGGTAGTAACGTATAAAATGTGATTTCTTTACCCTTTTTATTTGTGCTGATATAAGCCAGTTATTTGTTTCAAAACATGCATAGTCTGCCCAGGCATCTATTTACATCAATTTACTCAAACGATTCGAATGGACTTTGATCCCGAAATAGTGTTTGTTGATATATTAAAAGGTCCATTTTAAGGTTAATTTAATCTTATAAAATGAACTTGAAAGATAAGATTTATATTTATTTATATATTATAAAGGTTTAATATTTCGATAGGTTATTTTTTTTCGTTTAAAATTTTAAATAGGTTTCTTAGTTATTTGGTGTCTCAATTAAGTCTTATTTTTTAAAAATACAAATAGAGGGTTGTTGTCAAATTAGACAAATGTTGTATATTCGTTTAAGTTAAACTTTTTCGTTTGGACGAGATATGCAGAAAACTGAAACACAAGTTTTGTTCATATGTCATTTTATTAGGATGCAATAGATGATATCAAAGTGAGTTTGTGAATGAAAACTCAAATAGCAATGTATTTGATTATCTTGAATGAACGAAGCTTAGTAATGTATTTGATTATCTTGAATGAATGAAGTTGTGTTATATTCAGTCTACTGTTTGGCTCTCTTGGTAGCTGTTTTAGGGTCGAATTTTATCAAAATATACTTTGATGTGTAATCCATGAAAATGAGCTACCTTACCTCAATACTAGTAATGATGTTAATGGTATATCAAAAAGTAGGAATCCTAGTCTTTAGGGATCATATTCTTGTGGAAGCAAAACCCCTTTTCTTTCTGTGATAAAGTACCTGTGTTTTATTTCTTCATACTTCGCGTCCTATAATTTGAGGAAAGAAAACATTTTGTTTGAAAGAAAGTGGTTATGAATCAGTCCTTCCTTTTCGGAGTTTTAACATAGGGTTGCATGGTCTTACTTAAGTTAAAACTTTTCACTTAGGCTAGATTGACGAGACAATAATTTTAAAAGAATTTGTCCAGACGACTCAAGTTTCGCCTAAGCGAAAAAGTTACAGTGGCTCAACCTTAGTTGGAGGACACTGTCCTCTAGGCGAGTCAAGTTTCGCCTAAACGAAAATATTCCGATGGACACCCAAAGTTTTAGCCTAAATCTCATCCAGACAACTTATTTTGATAATCAATTAACAGTGTGACTTCAAATTTCACTAATAAATTGTTTATACCTTCTTATCTATGATGCTTTTTTAATTAAATTTGAAATTATCATCTTGTATACTTTTTAAATTTAAGATCTTCAAAACATTAACGAATTATAAAAGTTATTTGAGTCACTATATTAATATACTCTCGACATTTTGTACTTGAGTACATTTATTCCAATTAACTAAAAATAAGTAAATAGCAGTGATACAACAAGAATATATAAACAAAATGATAAGTGATGTAGTAATAAGAAAGTTAAGTAAAAATGAGATGAAATGGAAAAAAATAAGTATATGGTTATAAATTAGTTATTCTTAAATATATAATTGTAAGTCATACATGGCTTTGTGAACCATGTATTGTTCCAGAAAGTGTATAAGGACACGAGAAGGTGGGTTCAAGGACATCAGAAACAATTGCAGTGGATGATTGGAGGGGGAAAGCAGAGAAATGGCGCTGGCTGAAATTATGTTGGTGGGATATGATGAACTCGTATACAACTAAATGTTAAATACAGATTTTATCATGTTTAAATGATAATATTTCTGTTAATGATTTATGAACCTAATCCTTAATTCAATTTTGTAATTTCAATTCATAAGTTTGCCACGCATCCCATGGATGTGAGGTGCAAATCTTCCCTATCATGGTAACTTATGAATGGTGGAGTTTCTCAAATATAAACCATAAAGTACTATGTCGTTGGTAACAGAGAATGTCATCCCAATTTTCATTAAAAGAAGTTCCTCGTCACCCGTGTACTGATGTTTTTTTCATCAGTCAGATACCGACAGAATTTTTTTTCAAAAGTCTGAACATAAATTACTGATATTTACATTGGCGTTGATTAAACGTTTCATGCACAACATCTGATACACCTTATCCACCTCTAACTTTCTTTCTTACAGATAATTCATATATACTTTACTGATAAAATTGCATGACAGATTGAAACTGGTAAATCAAATGGTTATCGACATTATGCAAAAACTGGTAACATGATATTGCTACATCCATTCCTTTGTAAGATTATTATATCGTAATATCACCCCTCATGACACACACTGGCTTACCTGTTCCAGCAAAACAACAACACGATCAAAGATTTAAAAGAAACCACTCCTGCATTAACCACATGAAGATAATGTAGAAAAGAGGATTTTAATTATGTATGAAAAACAAAAGATAGTTGCATGTGATCTCAGATGAATATAATCTTATTTTGCATGACACAAAAAAGAGTTGAAGTTGCAATTCATGAATGGAGAAAAACAAATATATAGTGAATATCACTCCCAATCTTCGTCACTCAATTGATCATCATCCTCTTCTTTAGGAGGTCTAACAACCAACAACACAGTTCCTAAACTCTGAGTGAAATCTTTTTCCTTCAATGTGAAACCCCTCTCCACCTTCAAACCCTTACCATCACCACCATTCACAAGATAAAACCCATCATCAGCACCCACTTCTATCTTACTCCTGTCAGCAACCACCAATATGGCCTCTTCTTTGTACCACCTATTAGCCTTCCACGGCAAAACCCTCGCATCCGCGAACGACACAACAACACCCCCTTTTCCCAAACCCACCAAAGGATCCCACCCAGGCAACACCACCCACCTCCCCCACCCCTTCTCCGACACCACCACCCCAAATTCCCCTTCACTCCTACACTCAAACGGCGCCTCCAACACCTCCCTCTCATCTGCTGCGCAAACCGGCAACACTACCACTGAACGAGCCTCAGCCACCTCCCCAATCCTTAACCTCACCACCGGAACACGCGTCACTCCCTCCCCATCCTCTTCCTCCTCCTTCTCCTCACCACTCCTCTCCAACTCCTCCAGCACTACGTTCCTCGCCCTCTCCGTCCCCGCCACGCGCAGCGCCTGCTCCAGCGCCAAACTTCTCTGCTCCGACGGGTTCCTGTGCTCCCTACCCTGCCGGTAGTACATAAAAGAGAGACAATCTCCTGGGAGAGTGTAATCAAAGCTCTCCCACCCCTTATCCCCGCGCCTGCTCGGGAAATCCTTCATTGCGCGCGCCAGTTCCTGCGCCGCCTTCCCGTCACAGCGATTCTCGACAAGGAAAAGCGCGGCGGCCACCCGCTGCGAAGTGCTGAGAAGGCGGATCTCGTAGAGGAGCTCAGCGCCGCCGGTCTCGAAGGCGGCGAGGAGTTCGGGGTCGGCGTTGGACTCGACGAGGGAGTCGCGGACCTGCGCGGCGACTATGAGGCGATTCTGCTCAACGCCGGAGATGCCGGTGGTTTCCTCGATGGTGGGAGGGGAGAAGCCTTCTCGGATGAGGGAGGATATGAGGGGCGCGTACTGGTACCAGAGGCCGAGGCGGTTGGCGAGGATGTCGATGCGGCCGGCGATGTCGAGGTTGCCGTATTGCGATGGGAGGGGTTCCGGCGGAGGGCGAAAGGGTTGGTAGACTTGCTGCTGCGGCGGCGGCGGCAGCGGTTGCTGGTTCCTGAAGGAATAAGGGTTGATTATGGCAGATATGGGTTTGATGGAATGGCGACGGTTGGTGAATGATGGAGAGCTTATGAGAAAGAGATCATTGAGATTATTGGGTTTGAGGCTGAGAGTGTTTGCAGTGACAGAAGGCGAGAGGGAGAGCATGTTGCTTAATGTCTGCAGAGTGTTCGAAGGATGTTCGCAGAAGGAAGAAATTGCTTCTCCTTACCTTATCTGATGCCACTCTCTCTTCAGATTTTTTTCTTCTGCTCACTCAGTCATCTCTTTCTTAACTATCTTTTTCACCAGAAATAACTATATCATCGAATATCTTATCCCCTCCTTCTTTCTAACATTTTATTAACAATTTAATTACAACAATAACTAACTTATCCATATTTTTTCGATATTTTTACAGTTCGCTACCATCTTACTCAACAAGATTGCTATCTTAGCAAAATTTGCCATCTCCAATACCATGAAAAACTTAATTAGTAGAAAAACTTTTCCAACTATAGTACTCAAGTTTTATATTATATTCCAGTATGATTAATATTTACTTTCGCGTTCAATATCTTCCTCACTCAAATGGATGAAAAAACTCACCTCTAGATAAGCAAAACAAGCAATGGAGATGATAATAGTTTATTATTTTCTTTTTCTTTGGTTAAAAAGGTGCTTTGTAAAATGCATATTGTTTTTTTAACAGCTAGATCTTTGAAAACTGACAGTGCATGTTTTCGTACAATTCGTGTAGGAGAGAGCTTTTATCAAACTGCTGTGTTCTACTTTGTTTAGTTCCGCATAATTTCTACTATTGGTTTTTTTATTCTTTTGAATATCGAAAATTAACTTTATTAATTTCATTCTTTAAATATAAGAAATAATGCTGATAAAAATATAAGTGCGGTTAGAACTTAGAAACCGATTTATCCGGATTGAATTTGTTGACTCACCTATTCACCTAATTTAATTTAATTATTTATTATTTTGTATTTTAATATTATTAGTTAGCATTTGTTTATTATATTGTCGATGAGATAAAAAAATTTCAAGAGAGAAAAATATTATATATCTATTTATTCAAGACTATAATATTATAAATAGATAAGTGATACAAAAATTATCAATGTTAAAAACTTATTTATTCGTCTTTTGTACTTGTTTTTAGATTAAATTTAGATTGTATGATATATTTATTTATTTATTTTGAATTGTTTTTGGAGTTGACATCATTTTAGAATCAAATTTATTTAGATTTGAATTAAAAAAAGAGGTGCATCCATTTGTTTTTAATTGAGAGACTTAGATATTAATATTTTTAAATTTAAAAGAACAATCAATTTGTTAAAAATTAATTGATAATACTCTAAAATATTATTTGCTACTTTATTAAGTGAGATTACAATATTATTATAACAAAATAATAAACTATTTTTTCAAACACCTATATCTATATATATATATATATATATATATATATATATATATATATATATATATATATATATATATATATATATATATATATATATATATATTTAAAAATATTTCATGTACTTAAAAAATTGTAATAATTTATTAAAATGACTTAAATAGTAAATAGAAAATAATATGCTGAATATATAATATAGATGAAATAGAATTAATAACATGGGATATAACTATATAATTTAAATATGATGTGATTATTATATTAAATAATTGATTTAATATACACATGTAAAAACAATATAAATCCAACATTAAACTTTCTTTAGAATACATTTAAATTAATTTTAAAATCATAAAATATATATAGCAGGCAGAACTAAAAGTTTTTTAAAAATAATAAATAGACACATGTGGAGTGAGATGAATGCCTATACAAGGACTTGACTTGTTTCATTCACTCAATCTTCGCTCTCATTCTTTTTAGCAAATTCTCATTCCATTCACCACGAAAGCGGGACTGAAGCAAAAGTTAAAGCAACATTCTTCCATACGAATCTCTTTCAAATGAGAAGATATATCGACAAGAAAGAAAGTTCTATCTATTCTTTTTAGTTATTCAATGTTTTGTTATTAAAACACCAAACAACAACTATATTTGAAAAATTTATCAATATCTTTGTCATTTCATCCAATAACGCTTTCTTAGAACAGATTTAATAATTCTCAAATAGAGTATTAGAAAAACAAATCCTTTAAATAATCAACTATTGATTTTAAGTCATCTCTAACGATTAATCAACAATTCAAAATAGTTTTTTTGTGTATTATTGATAAACCAAGTTTTTTTTTCTCTTTTTTTTTATTATAGTCTTGTTTCATTACCAGAGGGTACACTATATATGTATATACGAAAAAGATGTTAAGGTTTGGGAATTGAAAACTCTTAATTCTTTGAGCATAGTAATATGCTTTTTTTTATGGATGAAAGTCCTTAAAGAATAGGTTTTCGTTTTTTCAATAAAGGAATTCAAAGAATTCTCGTTTTACATTTGTTCATTTTTATTGGACATTTGTTCATTTATTATACATTTGTGATTAGGATTTTTT